ACGTAATATTATAATATGTTTTATAATATTGTAATTATATTAACCATTTTAATAATATTATTATATTCTATATCATAATTATATAATATGTTATTTAATAATAGTTTTATTGTATTATATTAAATATAATAATAAATATACATTATATTGTACTTATATATGTTATATTATAATATAATATAATATGATCATTATTTTTAATTATTTCAATTATTATTTTAATAATATTATTATATTCTATATCATAATTATATAATATATTATATAATAATAGTTTTTTATTATATTAAATATAATAATAAATATATATTATATTATAATTAATATAATCGTAATTTTTAACTATCCACAACAATACAACCTCATAATTTACTAAACACTATAATGTTGATTTTGGAACCAACACAATTGTTATAATTATAGTTTACTAAACACTTAGCTGCTTCTTCCTTCAGCACAGCTAAAAGTAATTTTTCTAAAATCTACTGCACTACCAAACTAAGCCTTTGACCTTTTTTAATGACTAGTTGAAACCACACACCTATGCGCGTGATGTTCTATAAATAAAAATGAAAAATATATTTATTAAAGGTGCGTTTGGTTGGTGTATTCATGTCATGATTTGAATAATGGTTCATGGTTCGCTATAGTATTTTCTTTCACAAAAAATACACGTAAATCGAGAATAATTCTGAATTATGATTCTAAATTCATGAACCAAACATCCACTAAGATTTAATTTAGAAAAATAGAAAAATAATGTATAATAAGATAGAAAGGATAAGAATGAAAAATAGAAGAAGACGACGAAAAAGGAAAAAGGGAATGAAAATAAAAAATAAAAAATTCACTTGTGAAACATTTTTGTGAGGGAACTTGATTTTAAAAATTATTAGACAAAAATATGTATGATAATAAATTGTTGAAATAGGGGATTAAAGTGAAAGTATATTTATGAGGGTAAATTTTAAGAAAAAGGAAAAAATGTATAATATGGAAAAAAAAGATAAGAATGTAAAAAAGGGGATAAAAAAAACTATTAAGTTCAATATAATATAATATCAAAGTTAAAAAAGAAAAAAAAGAAAAAGAAGGAAAAAAAATTGCTAACGACACGTTTCGTTAACTACCTTAAAAAACTCAGGGTTTGTTTATTTGCACTAAAATTTAAAAAAAATTTGAACTCAAGTTATAACTTTATTTAAGCTAATGTTCTTTTGTAAAATTCGAGTTTAAACTTGAGTTTGGAGCTAAAATATGAGTTCAAGTTCCCCCTTCAACCAAAGTTCCTAAACTCAAACTCAAGTTAATGAATAATATTTTTTCTATTATTAAAAATGCCATAACTTTTCGCTTTAATTCCGATTGAGATTTTTTTTCTATGCGTTCATAACGAAAAGATGAATAAAACCCCACCCGTATATCCTATTAAAATTTTCCACCACTATTGAGTTTTTATTAAACTACTATCTAAATACAAATTCAAGTTTTGACCCACCTAAACATAAACTCAAATAGATTCCCAATTCAAACCATAACTCAAAATGTGCACATCCAAATACAAACTCAAATTAGAGTCACAACTCAAAACATACTCAAATGCACCTTAGCTTAAATCAAGATCTGAACTCAAGTAAATCTAACTCAAAAAATACAAATGAACAAGCCCTCAATCTCTCTTTACAGGTAGGTGTAGATTTACTATTAGAGTCGTGTTTATGTTTATTATATCAAAAGGGTAAATAAATAAATAAATAAATAAATAAATACAATTGTTAATGACTTATGTCCAACTACGAGTTTTATACTTTTGACCAGCATATCTTTTTAGTTTTTATGTTTATTTTATTTAGAGTAGTTTAGGTGTGTGTACTTTTTTTATCAAGAAAAATAAGGGATCAATGGCTTGGATTTAGTGGCAGAGCCAAGAATTTTTTTCAATAAGAGCGTGTCTGAATCAAAATTTTGAACTAAAATTATAATGTAGTAATTTTTAACCTTAATTCATCTATTTTATTATTTCTATTTTTAATGAATTAAGCATGTAGTATGTTATTTTTTTTTAGGAATTAATAGAGTTAAATTTAGTATTTAACGTTTAAAGTTTAAAAACTTGTAAATTTATGTGGTAGTATATTTGATTTTTGGTTTATTTTAGAATTAAATTTGAAATAACAATATACTTAAAAAATCAAAACTCAAGGTCTAATTGAAATTTTCTTTAAAAAATTATGACATGACAATGAAAAAATTTTGAGTGGGGACAAATAAAGAGAAAGCTGTCAAATATTGTAGTATTGGGTGAAACCGTAAAAGGAGTCTTTGGGCCCAATGGGAATAACTGCCCCACTGGGCCTAACACAGCACACTGGCCCCGTAGTTTATTGTGTTTTTAATTAGGAAAATAGTAAAAAAATAAGACAAAAAGCTTAAGAAAGTGTATATGTCAATTTTTAATTATAAAAATTAATAGGTCATAACTTATTAAGTTATGGTTCATAATAAGATAAGTTATGGATAAATTTGTCAAGTTATGGACAAAAACCGTGAATAACTTGTCAAGTTATAGTTCATAATCAGACAAGTTATGGACGAAAATAGTAATTTAGCTTATTTATTAACTTATGTAAATTATTAGCCTATTAATTTTAATTCATCTTAAATTTTAGCCTATTTATCTCTTTCTCCCTTTTAATTATAGATCATCGTTTACTAATTATGATATAGATTATTCTTACGTCACATTTGGTTATGGGTGATCAAAACGGGAGTGAAATAGCCATTACTTAAAAAAAGATTCTTTCAAATGTTTCATTTTTTGGTTTGGTTTTTAACTTAAAAAAACTGGTTTAGATGGGATGATCATTTTAACAAACTTTAAAGAATTGCCTTTCTTAAATGAAATGGGTGGAAAAACTCTTTTTTTTTTTTTTCAATCTTGAAATTACGTGCCCAAATCACCGTAGATCAATTTGCCTGTGCAAAAGTATATAGGAGGAATTACGTGCCCAAATCACCGTAGATCAATTTGCCTGTGCAAAAAGTATATAGGAGGGCCTAGGGGGTTCTGGGTGGCCATGGCCCCTATTAAACGCGGTTTTTTTTAATATACTAGAGTTGCTTAAGTATTGGTTAATTAAATCGTTTTTAAACAAAAAAAAAAAAAAAAAAAACAGAGTAACCATATTTATTATTTTTGTTTTTTGTTTTTTTAATTGTTGTCAAATCTTAAATTGTTCTTATTCCATACTTCTCCTCTTCACCTTTCTTGTTCCCCCCCTCGGAAAATTTCTCAAATTTTCTGTTATTTCTCGGATTATTAAAGGTGAAAGGCACAAACTCTAATCGAATTTCATAATATAAATTCTCTTTGAAAACATTTTTCATTTAGGTTATTTTTTCAGTTCATTTAGGGAAGATTTGCGATCCTTTTTCATGTAGGATACATAACATGACATTAAATTTTGTTAAGGGATTGTACTGGCTTTAGTTAGGGCGAATTGGAAGGCCTTCATAAAGGCTCTAGAGTTTCTATTGTGTGGATAATTAATCTTTTGTTGATTTATCTTAAATTGATATTTTGAGGTATGTGAATTTATCACGACTGCTGTTCTTTTACTGAGAAAAAAATGTTACTTGCAAGTGTATAAAAGATTTTTATTTTTATTTTTACAGGTAACATTGATGTTTTTATATGTTAATATGTTATGAGTTTAATAAGAAAAAAATTTTGGCCCCTCCTGCCAGAAAGTCTTAGCTCCGTCACTTGACACTTACCATGCCATTTGGCCCATATGAGATTTGTCACCGTGTGAAGCTCTGTCCGACTCCCAATCCCGACGACAATTGTATATGAAAAACCCAGTGTCACCCACACCCTTGCCACAAAACCTCCGCTGACCACCTTCCTAGGAAATATAACGCTGTCTACATCTTTTTCGCGAAATCTCACCACACACATCACCTGTCTCAAAACCTCATGGTCACCCTCGACGAAACCAACCCTCATATGACATATCTGTTAGTCCAATCCTCTCGCACCTGAGAGTTCATACCTCCCGCACCCCGAACACGACCTCCCCTCCAAGGACACCCATTGCGCCAAACTCATATTTGCTATCTTTTTTTTTTTTTTTTTTTTTTTTTTTTTTTTTTTTTTTTTTAGTATTGAAAAAAAATATATATTTTTAAGTTTTTAACAACACAATGTGTTCAAAAAAAAAAAAAAAAAAAGAAAGAGGAAGTTACGCATACTACTATATTTTTTTTTATTGTATTTGTATTTATGCCGCTCAAAGTATAAATTTGGCCACTTTAAGATTTTCTTTTACTAGTTCAATCAGAGACATGTTTTTATTGTGCTACTTTGATAATATAAACGTTAGTAGTACTATTTTGAGTGGTATTTTTATGAAAAATATCTTTAATTTAGTTTAAAAATAAGGATAGTTTAGTTAATTACACTTCATTATACAACTAATTAAATAAAGTAATAATCTTTCTTAATACGATTCTAAAGTTTCAATTAAACAAAGAAATTATTCTCTTTCCATTATAAATAATGTCTATTATTATTCCATTATTATTACCATCACCTTTACATCAGCACTTGAGTAGTACAACAAAATTTCAGTATAAATTCATAATTTTAATTCTGTTACAGTATTTTTTTTTATAATTTAAATTTCAAAATTTATAAACAAAAATAATAATTTAAACCCATATATCAAACAGGCGTTTCATTCTTATGCAAGGTCCATTTCACTGAGTTAGGATTGTGTGCTAGTCGTGAACAAGGGAAAGATGGAATAACTTCTGTCCGTTACCAAACAGGTCCGCAAAGTGGAAATGGCACTGGGCACCTCACTAATTTCTCCACGTCAAGTGGAGAAGGCGCTCCAATAAAAATACGACACGTCAGCCAACCAAAATTTATCCGTTGGATCATCCACGCTGGTACTACTAAGATTATCAGTTCGGTCAATCAGACTTTCGGGCTTCAAGTCGTCTGCTGGGGCCCAGCCAAACACTCGGTTACAACCACGTCAAGGAAACAAACAACATCCAATAAACACTCGCCACGTTTCAAAACTCTAATCGCTGACCGTTCATTCGTCCATGGTGGCAAAGTCAAGCTCCCGTGGAAATCACGGTTTCCGTCTACAAGGATCTATATAAAAAGGGAAAATCCATATCAAAGAGACACTGCTTAATTTTTAAAGCGCAAAACTGAGCGAAGCTACTAGAATCAATTCGCGAACGACGATGAGGAAGTGGACGATCCCTTCCGCTCTGTTTCTCCTCTGCCTCCTCTTCCTTCTCCCAGATCAGGGTATTCCATGGCTTTCATTTTACCATTTCTGCTTTTTCCTTGTTTTTAGCTTCTACTCATGGCTATGGATCTTGTATATTTTTCTCCACTTTCGTTTTCCATGGTTGTTGAACATTTCTCTTAGAAACTCACTTTAGCTCAAGCGTTGGAATATGGTAATATTGTAGAGAATTCAGATTAAGTCAATATTTGGGGATCTTGGTGGTTCAGGTCGTAAATTGCAGGCAAATGCGGAGGGTAGCTCCGACGATCTTGTAGATCCGCCGAAGGTCGAAGAAAAGATCGGCGCGGTTCCGAATGGTCTTTCTACCGATTCTGACGTCGTCAAGAGGTTTATATGCAAATCTCATTTCTGAAACTCTTAGAAAACTTTAAAGCAAATTAGCTCACTGAGTCACTGAGGCTTATTAGTTATTAGTTATTATAATCAGTGTCTTTATAGTTTTTTTTATTTATTTGATTATATTATCATCTTTCTTCGGTAATTTCTGGAAACGAATTTTTTTAAATTATAGGGAGGCGGAGTCGATTTCGAAGAGATCTCTTCGCAGCAATGCGGAGAAGTTTGAGTTCCAGGCAGAGGTGTCTCGGCTCATGGATATTATTATCAATTCCCTTTACAGCAACAAAGATATTTTCTTGAGGGAGTTGATATCCAACGCTTCTGATGTAAGCTTAGTCGTTGTGATTCTTAATTTTTTTTCCCTTTAATATCACTAAATCGTGAGCTAAATGTGACTGGGACTTTATATTAATGCGAGAACTTTGTTAAATATTTCAGGCGATAGACAAAATTAGATTCCTTTCCCTCACAGACAAAGAGATATTGGGCGAAGGTGACACCGCCAAGCTTGAGATCCAGGTTAGAGATGTTCAAGGATAAAAGTTTCACCGTTTGGAGGGCGGTTTTTCATTGATGGTGTGCGTAGTTTATAATATGTCATTGAACTGATCAATAACCAATTGAATTGCAGATTAAATTGGACAAGGAGAAGAAAATCCTTTCGATACGCGACAGAGGTATTGGAATGACAAAGGAGGATCTGATTAAGAACTTGGGTACTATAGCAAAGTCTGGAACGTCAGGTATGTAAACTAGAAATTTTGAAAATGCTCGAAAAAAGTTTCCCTGTTTTAGGAAGAATTGATTTGAACAATTGTTTTTGGGTGCAGCATTTGTCGAAAAAATGCAGACAAGTGGAGACCTCAATCTCATTGGTCAATTTGGTGTTGGTTTCTACTCTGTTTATCTTGTCGCTGACTACGTTGAAGTTATTAGCAAACACAATGATGACAAGCAGTAAGTAATCTTTCATTGGGTTAAGGTTTCCTTTTCATTCAGTAGCTTTCTTTCATATAATTCCTGTTATTGGTAATTATCTTTTGATGAAAATGGTGAAAATTTTATGGATTTAAGGTACGTTTGGGAGTCGAAGGCTGATGGTGCATTCGCCATTTCTGAAGATAGATGGAATGAGCCACTAGGACGTGGAACCGAGATTAGATTGCACCTTCGAGATGAAGCCGGGGAGTACTTGGAAGAGAGCAAACTGAAGGTGAGTTACTTCACTACTTCTCAGTCACGTTTATTTGTTACTAGTATTATTTATCCCTCTTCTAGTGGCCCTTCCGTTTCCCTTGGTTTGTAGATTTTTAAGGTTAAGATAACACGTAAATTATATAAACTTTTCTCAGGAATTAGTGAAACGATATTCTGAATTCATTAACTTCCCCATCTATCTCTGGGCAAGCAAAGAGGTTGATGTAGAGGTTCCCGCTGATGAAGATGTGACTAGCGAGGAAGAGGAATCATGTATGCATTATTCAATTGAGAATTTTAGTGTTTACTTTCAACAGCTTCGTATTTCTGGCAGAAACTATGATAGTGTTTTGTGTCTTAATTTTCCTCTATTCGTGGTCTTACTTTTTTGTCCTTGCTTCACTAATGTTACCAGCTGAAAAAAGTTCGACAGAGGAGGAAGGAGAAGATGAAGATGCTGAGGAAAAATCAAAGGCAAAGACTGTTAAGGAAACAACTTACGAGTGGGAGCTTTTGAATGATGTTAAAGCTATATGGCTGCGGAATCCAAAGGAGGTCACAGAGGAAGAGTACAGCAAATTCTACCACTCTCTTGCAAAGGTAATTTGCACGTTCAGTTGCTTTAAATTCTTATAGAACCAGAGAATGTTTTGGAATTACTCTAGGCCCGTCCCAAAATCCGGGCTATCTACACATATTCACCTTTTCTTTTCTTCTCTCATCTCCAAAGAAGCATAATCATTTGCATTTTGTGTATTTTTCAAAAGGATTTCAGCGATGAGAAGCCTTTAGCATGGAGTCACTTTTCCGCGGAAGGTGATGTGGAATTCAAGGCTGTACTATTCGTGCCTCCTAAGGCTCCTCAAGATCTTTACGAGAGCTACTACAACTCCAATAAATCCAACTTGAAGTTGTATGTCCGAAGGGTCTTCATCTCAGATGAATTTGATGAGCTTGTACCCAAATATCTGAACTTTTTGCAGGTAATGTTGGATATAATAGTATCTTAGCATTAGGTTTGAGGGGGTAGGTTTCTAACTGGGCGGACTTTGAACAGGGTCTTGTTGATTCTGATACTTTGCCTCTCAATGTGTCAAGAGAAATGCTTCAACAACACAGCAGTTTGAAAACTATTAAGAAAAAGCTCATCCGCAAGGCACTTGATATGATTCGTAAACTTGCTGATGAGGATCCTGATGAGTCCAATGACAAAGACAAGAAAGGTATAATGTGGTGTAATTCATTTTTCTATGTTTGCATCACGCTTAAATTGGTGTTAGAATGTGTATTTGTTCTGTTTAATTGTTGCTGAATTCGTTATATTTGCCTTGTTCCCTTTTCTTTGTTAAATTCTGGTGGAAGCAGATGTTGAGAAGTCCAGCGATGATGATGAGAAGAGGGGCCAATACACAAAATTCTGGAATGAATTTGGGAAGTCTATCAAATTAGGTATCATCGAGGATGCAACAAACAGGAATCGTTTGGCAAAACTTCTGAGATTTGAGAGGTAACTTTTTAAGTTACTTATATAGAATTTCAGGCAGACCTTGGAAGTCTCACTTTTCAGTATTTGTGTGTATAGTGTTGATGAAACATAATTGATCTTTCTTACAGCACCAAGTCAGATGGCAAACTCACGTCATTGGATCAGTACATCTCGAGAATGAAATCAGGACAGAAGGATATATTCTACATAACTGGAAACAGCAAAGAGCAATTGGAAAAATCTCCATTCCTTGAGAGGCTTAAAAAGAAGAATTATGAGGTACCTACAAGTCAATTTTCTTTGTATATCTTTTTGTCGCATTCACTTTGTTTTTGGTTTCTGTCATCAGGATTTTTTCCTTTCTTTACTGGTCATTTAAGAAAATCTTGTCTCATTTGCTATTCTTCCCCCTACCCATGCAGGTCATTTTCTTTACAGATCCTGTCGATGAGTACCTGATGCAATACTTGATGGATTATGAAGACAAGAAATTCCAGAACGTGTCCAAGGAGGGTCTGAAACTTGGAAAAGACTCGAAAGCGAAAGAACTCAAGGAATCATTCAAGGATCTCACCAAGTGGTGGAAGAGTGCTCTTGCCAGTGACAATGTGGATGACGTGAAGGTGTCCAACCGTTTGGATGACACTCCTTGTGTGGTCGTGACATCGAAGTATGGATGGAGCGCAAACATGGAGAGGATCATGCAATCTCAGACCCTATCAGATGCTAGCAAACAAGCATACATGCGCGGGAAGAGGGTGCTCGAGATCAACCCCAGGCACCCAATCATCAAGGAGCTCCGAGAGAGAGTAGTGAAGGACCCTGAGGTAAGTCCTACACTTTGCTTCCACGTGGTTTCTTAGATATCCAGACACATGAAAATGAATTTGTGTAACTCTCCTCGTGCGTAGTTCTTGGCCTCCATTTTCGTTCACTCATTGGGAGCTTTTGCACTAGGCTAGCACAGCCCTTTCTGTTTAGTAAACAAATGATATTTTCACATCTTTTCACATTTAGCTAAACGATTGGCTTCTCTCTTTCAGGATGAGAGCGTGAAGCAAACATCACAGCTCATCTACCAGACTGCACTCATGGAGAGTGGCTTTATGCTCACTGATCCCAAGGACTTTGCCAACCGAATCTACAGTTCAGTCAAGTCAAGCCTAAACATCAACCCCGACGCTATGGTTGAGGGGGAAGATGACGCTGAAGAAGTCGAGGCGGAAAGCAACACCAAAGAAGCTGCTGACACTCCCAAGGCTGAAGACAACTCAGAAGGTTTGAAGGTTGAATTGTAGATGCTTCAACGGCGATCGAATCTCCTTGGTTAAATCGATGGGGCCTTTGTTAAGTTTTTTCATGTTTTATAGTCTCTGAGAGAAATGGAAATATTTGCATCACGCGTTTTGATTTGCTTGTGGATGCTAGAGAAGCCATTAAACGTTAGATTACTGTAACCATAATTATATTACCAGGAATTTTGTGTTGTAGCATCGGTTATGATGTCAATTGCAAGCTCTATAATGCGTTTTTCCCCCACTCCGCTTGGTGTGTGATTGTGTACTGCTCTAGTTGTATATGCAACGTAAGAGTTCGGCGGGATCTGATTGCAGGGAAGGGGTTAATGGTCATAAATGGTCCTAGTTAAGGATGAGTAATCTGAATTCAAATCATCTAACTAATTTCTTGTGCAAAATTGTGTCTAGAGTGTCACATTATTTAAAAAATTTAAAAATATTTTTAATTAATTTTTTTTATTTTGATATTTAGATTTATTAAATGACGTGTTTTATTCTATTGTAATTGGTTATATATTAATTGAGACGTTAAAAATTAGATAATAAATTTGAGTACGAGTAATCTTAAACGAAAGCTCTGGTCTGTCTGAATTCTCTAGACGAGCTCTAATACTTCCGCATGGGCGTAGGGTTTTTAATGAGTTGGTTTTTGAATATTCGACCTCTATGAACAAAATTCCCTAGACGAGCTCTAATACTTCCGCCTGGGCCTGAGGTTTAATGAGTTGGTTTTTGAATATTCGACCTCTATGAACATATTTGAGCTATTACACCTTAAAGTGGTCGGTGAATAATTATAATTCTAAATTATTTCACCGATTCGAATTTTTAATTTTTAATTTTTATAATTAAAATTTTTTAAAAAATATTATATCTAATTTTTTATTATAATTATTTTTTTTTAAATATCACATTTTAATTTAAATTAAAAATTTATGTGATATTTGATAAGGAGATTCGTATCCTAATTCAAATTATAATTCATGATTCGTTATAATATTTTCTCTTATAAAAAATATACATAAATTAAAATAATTTTAATCTTATAATTTTAATATAAATAATTCTAATTTTATAATTTTAATGCATAAACCAAAACGTCTCCGCCTGTAACGGCAATTTACGTTATAAGTGAAGGCTTAAATCAACGTGAGTAAAAGTTCTGGGTGGCTTTACCCATTGGATCGAGTTCTGCCAAGGGGACAAAAACTCTGAGCTTTTCTGCCACATGGCAGAGCAAAAACCAGTCATAAGACTAAAATACCATCTTTCCTTTCCACCTATGGCTTTTCCTCTTTTTCTTCTTATGTTCACGGTAAAAAAAAAAAAAAAACGATGAATCACAAATGAGTTTTAAAAAATTAAGAGAAAAAAATAAATTTTTGTGTTGGCCCCAAAAAGAAAAAGAAAGGAAGATTTAAAAAAAAAAAAAAGAAATGCACGTTTTAATGAAACGTGGTGCAAAAATGTGAAGCAAAAATGTGAAGTAAAACGTGGTGCAGAATGTGGTGTAATATGTGGTGCAGAACGTGGTGTTCGTTCTCTTCTTATATAAAGGAAGCGAGTGAGTGCAGAGAAAAAAATGACGGGAAGAAAAATTTTCGGCCTGAAGACTTTGTGCAGGTGTGTGGAGTGAAGAGGTGAGAGAAAAAATAAAAAAAAAACTGTGTGCAGTGGTGTGAAAACGCAGAAGGAAAAAAAAAGACTTCGTGCAGTGTGTGTGAGTGCAGGATGAAACAAAAGAAAAAAAAAATACTTCTGACAAGCGTGTGTGCGGAAGGGAAGTGAGAGAAAGAAAAAAAAGTATACATCTGTGAATCAGCGTTGGAAGTTCGGGTCGGCGCAGCCCGAAATTTTTTGGGTTCGGACGGGCAAGTCCATTTTTTGCCCGTTCAAGTTAGATTTTCAGGTTCGGATAGCCCGAATTTGACACTAACTCTCTTGTCCGCCGCCGTCTAACCGCCCTATACCGTTGTCCGCCGGAATTTTTTTGAATTTTCCGACCATGCCCGACCCGCCCGAATTGCCCGACCCGAAAATAAGCCCGAAAACCCAAATTTTGCCCGAAGCCCGAGTTGCCCGATTTACCCAAAACCGCCCGAAAATTTTAGTTGCTACAAATTGGGGCATTCCGAGAATCAAACTCGGGACCTCTCACACCCAAAGCAAGAATCATACCACTAGACCCAATGCCCATATTTGTTATTTAAATTTTTAACTTTTTAATTAAGGTAAACACATAATTCCTTAATAGAAAGAGCAAATTCCTATTTTAGCAGTTTAATATTTCAGTTTTCACATTCTTGACCCTTTTTTATAATCAATCACATGATAAAATGATTTCTCAAAAAACAATATACACAAGGAAAGAAACACATTGCCATCACGTTTTTATTGTTTTTTATTTTTAAAAAGTGTTGTTTCTATATAATGCCGGTTTTGTTCTTATAGATACTCGTGTTTTTTTATTCTATATCACTCTTCTTTCTATCTTTATCTATTTTTCTGTTCACAATCTCTCCTCATCCTCTTAATTATCCTCTTTTTTCTTCAACTTTCTTCACTCTCTTTGTGACTCTATATCAAAGTAACTTTAAGGGATATTGTTGAAGCCTTGGTTTGCATTAAGAATTGAGATCGGGCCGATCGACGTCTACAAGATACAATTTCGCCGGCAAGCCAAGAATGAAATGATGAATTTAATCGATTAACATTTAATTTTGACGAATCTTTAGCTTCAAATTAAATTGTAAATTTGTAATTTGTAAATATGTATTTATCTTTGATATTGTATTTGTAATTGTATAACTTTGTAAGTTTGTAAAATTTGTAATTCGTCACAAAATGATTGCACTCTTTTTTCCTTGCCAAGTTTTTATCCCAATTGGGTTTTTCTTGTTAAGGTTTTTAACGAGGCAGTCATGAATTACAAATTTTAAAATTAATAAAGAAATAATTTTTTTATATAGTTCGTGTGTTCATTTCAAATTTCAAATTGTAATATATATATATATATATATATAAATTTTAACACAAAATAACTTAATATTAAAAAAAAAGTTTAAATAATTCGGGCAATTCGGGCGGGCTCGAGCCGCCCGGCCGGGCTCGGGCCGCCTAATACAAGCCCGCGGCCCGTTCAAGGTGAAATTTGGGCTCGGGCGGGCGGCCCAAATTTCTCGGGCGGCTCGGGCTCGGGCTCGGGCAAAAACTCGGGCTTTTCGGGCGGTCGCGGGCGGCCCGTCCAAAGTTCCAGCACTATCTGTGATATTTTAAAATAATAAGGTAAATACATATTTTGATATTTTGATTTTTTTTATACTAATAGTTTTAATTTTTTGTGTTACAGTACATTTAAATTAAATCATATATACACTTTAAAGTATGAGATTGTGATTTATTTTTTGACACTCTCCACGAAGATAAATCTTATATACGACTTATAGTGTGAGATTTCTTATTTGTAACTCTTAAGGCCCGTTCATTTCGCTGATTCGAGTTTAGAATTCGAGTTTTACTACAGTAAAAAGCTCTTAGAAACAATCACATCTAACTTTTTTGCTATAGTAAAAAGCTCGCACACAAAATCACATCTCAACTCGAATTATAAACTCGAATCAGTGAAGTGAACGGGCCCATTATAAATTCCGAATGCACTCATGGTGTGTGGCTTCTCATTCTTATTACAATCCTATGATTATCACTAAGACTTAGATTTCTTTTTAGAGATCTATATAAGTTAAATGTGATTTCAAAAAAATCAAGGATTAAAAGTTTTCCAAACTATTTATCACAATTGTTTTGAGTGCAATTCGAGTGAAAAACTTACGAATTACACTTTAAAAATTGACATATGAAAAATTATGTGCATATAATTTATATGAAAATATTCATACAAATCGCAAAATACCCGAAAAAAAACAATCAAAAAAAGAAGATGTTAAAAAAAAAAACAAACAACGGTCACCTCTCTTTCTCAGTATCTTCACAAAGCGCATATATATATCTAAACCATTCTAGCTGCAAACAGCAAGCCATTTCCTTTTCCTTCCTGGCAAGCCTGCAAGCCATTTTTTTTCCTCCTGCAAAGCCATTTTAGCTGCAAACGGCAAGCCACAGCAAGCCTGCAAGCCATTTTTTTTCCTCCTGCAAAGCCATTTTAGCTGCAAACGGCAATCCACAGTAAGCCTTTTTTTATTTTTTTCTGCAAACGCACGTGAACCCATATATATATATATATATATTTATTTGTTTATTTATCTAGGTATATATATTTGCAGTAGCAAGCATCAGTACGTGAACTCTTTGGTGTATATATATATGCGGAAAAAATAGGGAACGTGTAGAAAGGATGAGGACGAGGGAAATCCAAATCTCATTTGAAATCAAATTGTTAGCGAAAAAGAAGGGATATACATCATACAATCGGATCAATCAGTTTAGATATGATAAAATTAAAAATTAAAAAAAAAAAGATAAGGGATAAAGGATAAATTTTTAAAAAATTAAATACTAAAAAAATTTAAAGTGCACAAATTGAGCTCCTTTATGGTCCCGTAGTTCAAAAAGATGAGCCCATTGTCTCATAAAACTATATGGTGATTAAATACAACTTTCAAATCCCAAATTCAAATAAAAAAATTCTCAACACCAAATTCAAAAAGGATCATTTTAATTCCTCATAAGGTCATATACCGGAGAATTACACAAATACAACTCTCAAATCCAAACTCTAAAGTAAAATTCCAAATCGAATTTTAAAACATTTTTAAATTCCTCCTATGGTCATATATCGAGGAATTCCCCAAAATCTAAAATTCAAAATTCAAGAACTACGATTGACTTGATTCCCTATCGGATACGTAGGCAACCCACAAATTTAGGTGCAGGTTCAAGATCAAATTCGATCCTGAATTCCTCCTATGGGCATATATCGGGGAATTCTTCAAAATTCAAATTCAAAACCTAAGAACTCCGGTTGACTTGATTCCTTATCGGATACGTAGGCAACCCACAAATTTAGGTGCAGGTTCAAGATCAAATTCGATCTTGAATTCCTCCTATGGTCATATATCGGGGAATTCTTCAAAATTCAAATTCAAAACCTAAGAACTACGGTTGACTTGATTCCTTATCGGATACGTAGGCAACCTACAAATTTAGGTGCAGTTTCAAGATCAAATTCGATCCTGAATTCCTCCTATGGTCATATATCGGGGAATTCTTCAAAATTTAAATTCA